GGACAGATACATTTTCTCCCTCCATTAATCATTTTACTTGATGCTTCAACCCAACAACTGACATTTTTCTTATAATATTTATCTTTCTCTTCCTTCATTTTTACTGTTAATCTTCACTTTATCTGTCTTTCTTTCAGTCACTCTGCCTCTGACATACTGTAGCAATGAGCAGATAGTCATAAATCATTGAATAAAGTTGGCCACTAACTGCAAAGGGACTGACGGCTTTAGGAGGCATAAGGCTTCTTTGTATTCAGAAGAAATTCCCTCTCACAGATCAGATTAACCATTCCCACTCTGTCTCCCTCTTAGAAACAATTTTGAAGCATTTCATACAAAGCTGCCTAAAGCATCAGCAGTATACATACATTTGTTGGGACAAAAAAAGGAATAGTTACAGACCTTTTTGTGTGTGAGGTAGCTGTTCCTCGCCTGTGCTCACATCATGCAGAAATCCATCCCGTAGTGTTTGGTTTTTCAGCTGAGCAAACCAGATCCGTTACCCCAGAGATCTTCCCAGTGAGCCTGTTCGCTCACGCTCTCTCTCTCTCCCCCCCTTGCTCTCTCTGTCATTCAGTGTGACACACACACTCGAGCTGCACCACACAGACACTACAGCTGGCGTAGATGCTGTCAGATGTGGACCCTCTATATCAGTGGAATAGGGAACATGCATACACACGTAAGCGAAGATATTATTGAGTTTTTTCTTTTACTCAAGAAGTGGTGAAGGGGTATGAAGAGAGGGAGTAGTGCTCACCCTGTCCCCACCCTCCCACTTTTCTCTCTGCTGCTCATCAGTACTGATCACATGCATTGTCAGATCTATTCTTCTACCTTTGTACTCTGATTTTTATTCAATAAAAATTCCGCACACTTGTTCAGTAGCTGGTAAACATGAACAGACAGAGCATAGCTAACTCAGTACACATCATCACCACCTTTTATTTATTCATGGAAAGAACAGTTGGTGGACAGTAAATGGATTTTATAAATTAAGTAATCAATCAATATTTGTAATTACATGAACACCCTCCCTCACACACAACCAAGCCTTTGTTTCGGTTCTCATCAATCTAAGGTTTGTGTGGTGGACATGGCCTCACTGTCTGCTCTCAGCAAACTGCGTCAGTACACAGTATCCAGCTCTGAGCAATAACCGGCTGCTACAGTGCTGGCAGATTGAACCGCTGGGATAAGGCCCCAAACTGGCAGATTTATGAGGAAAAAGGCAGCCCCAGAAGAAAGAAACCGTTTTTAACACCTCTCAGGTTCTCAGCAGTGCTCGTCATGCCTCACTTCTTGTTAAAGCTCTTATTTTTGTCTTTTCACTTTTCCCTCTCCTTTTCCCCCCTACTGCTCCCACTATAACAGTGTCTGTATGTCAGCAGCTAAGCATGTCGGCTCTATTAAAACTGCACAAATCTTTTGTATAAGGATTGAAAATTACATAAACTTAACATGCAGAAACAAATTACATGTGAAGCAAGAGTTTTTCCAAAATGTTTATGTTGGGGGGAATATAAGATGACTGGAATTTATCCATTAACAAAATAAAGATGATCCAGTTCTCAAAAAGCTAAACTATTTTGTGAGAAAAATGCAAAGAATGAATGAACATTTGTTAATACACTCAGTCATCTGTAGAGCTATCAAATCATGCAGGTGGTTTTAAATGTATCTGGACTGATTTTCAAGTATGGGTCTGGGGCTTCTGTCTACAGGCTCATTTGTTTGTAGATTTTATATAATTTATCATATTTAAACAAGACACATCGGTGCATCAAGCTGATCCTAACATCCAATCATGATGCTAGCATGCTAATGTTTAGCAAGCGTAATATTGACCATATTCACCATCTCAGTTTAGCATGTTAGCTTTCTGACATGGTAATAGCTGAGGGTGATGAGAATGTGATCTGCTGAAGGTTGTAGGAACCAGTTCTTGCTACCATGCTAACTCTGAGAGACGAGACAGTCCAAGTAACTTCAAAACAGTGCTGATTTATTCAAAGGATCACAGGTAAAATTAACATTACACGCTCAGGTATCTTGCACCTCTAACCTGCACACAGGCAGATGTAAGATGAAAGACCCTGAACCCACCAGGCCTATACATTATATCCCTTCGGTTGGGCTAGCCCCATACTACACAGAAACGTCAACCGAGACGTCTCTGTTAACAGCTTTGCAGCTGGTCAGAGCAGTAGTCAAAACATGAAGCAAATCAATGTGTGAATGTGTGTGTGTCTGTTGGTTAAGTGGTGTGTAACTAAAAACATTCTCACAGACCTCTAGTAACATGTCGTGATATTAAACATAAGAACATATTATGGCTAAGGCTACAGTTATACACGTCATAATAATAATATTAAACACCCTGTCTGCTGACAGTCATCAACTCTTCTCTCTAGTTATCCTTGACCAGATGTACCCTGTAGAAACTCATAAGCAGGCCTAAGCATTTAACAGTCTAACTAGACATCCTATCTCCACTAAACATTTCTAATACATAAAGTATCTATCCAATATCTATCTGACTAAAAATATCTAACAAGGTATTTGGTCAAAACCAAAGTACAGGACAAAATGCAATTTAACTTTGAAGGGACACCACTCTTCGAATATACAAATGCATACCACAACTTTTTTTTTAAATTACTTTCTTGATAGGGAGTGGTTCTAGGAGAGAAAATATTTTCAGGTGAGCCAGTCGTTTAAAGTGCTTTTACTTTGATAATACAAATGATGTAAGACTAGGTTGCTCATTTTGGAATTAAATGCTCCAAAGGAGGTTCATTCTCTTTTGATCTAAACTAAATTTTCTACATGGCTCTGAATCTCATTTATGAGCTTGTTAGCACCTTAATGGTATTCATGAAGGTGTTAATTGTGCGGCAGATGACGCCTATCCTGCTCTGTGAAGGCGAAAAGACACCTCCTCCTCCTCCACAGCTGCTTTTGTCTTCTGCCATCTGCCCAATGACACAGGCACCAGAGGGGAATAGCAGCAGTGGAGAATGGGCAGAGTAGGAACAAGAGGAGCAGACTTTATTTCACATGCAGATCTAACATTTGCTGTCATCATATGGTTGGTATTCATGTGTACTGTAGACAGAAATTTGACAGCCATGTGAAGAGGTCTGGGATTCATCTGATGAGCAGATATTTACTGTGTTTGTAAAGATGTTCTTAATCTGAACCACCAAAATGACGGTGCTGATCGTGCTGAGGTACAAGCCAAGGACAGAGTAAAAGAACATTAGACATCGTTTAATAATAAGTATTTCCCCTGATCTCAGCTTTACACTCTGCAATCTTACACACAATTCATTTTCCTAAAGAGAGAATATGCTTGAGAAAACTAATTAAGACTGCGCTAGTACATGTTCTTGTCTCTGTGCAAACTCAAGTGATCTTGTGTGTTTGTGGTGCCTGTGTATGCATTAGTGTATGTGAGAGAGAACTGAAGAATAGAGATAAGAGCTTTGGCTTCAGCTGGCTTTTTGTCACTAATCCCAAAAGGCGAAGAAGAGGCCAATGAATCCGTGTCATTCCCTGATATCCCAGCCTGTTCTGCCTCCATGCCATCCACTGCAGTGCCCTTGTGAGGACACCAGTTTCTGCACAGCATGCTAATGAGGGGGAATATACAGCAATGAGGGGTGTGCAGCTCCATTTGGGGACTATTTTGGGTAAGTGTCATCTTTAAACAATGAGATAACAGAAAAGTGCCAAGATATTAGTAAAAAGTATGTTAGAAGTGCAATGCATTTTAGATTCTTTACATCTCTGGTAATCTGAAAGAGAGAGAGAGAGAAAGAGGCACAAAAAAGTGAGATTTAAGACTGTTTTACTTGTCTTCTGCTTCTTACATGAGAAAGGATCTTTGCATCCCTAATCTTGAATAAATGGAATATAAGATAAACTTTGTTCATGTTTTCATAGTATTGTGCAGAATTATTTGTGATGTTCAGTTTTGTTTTCAAAGGTTTTGAAGATCTGACATCAGCCAAAAAACATGAGCTATACTCTAGTGTTTTGTCTAATTGCATTGCCATGCCAATCAAAATGATCTCCACACATCTGATGGCATGGAGCAGAGAAAACATTCTCACACACTCGCACAGGACAGCAGCCTGACAGGTGACTACTTGTACAGAATAACAATGAGAGAGATGGCAACATGATTCCAGCACTGTCTCAAAAATACAAAAACGACACAGTCTCTGTACAAAAAACATGTTTGTGCAAGAAACTCTCAAAGCTAATCTGAAACCTTTTGAAAACACTATTTTACTAAAACCTTTACCACTAATAGTCTTGGCAATTTTGTCTTATCCCTCTGAAGGGTGCACTCTAAATTCATGAAAGATGAGAAGAAAGGACAAAACTTCCTTAAGATTCACTTGAATATATGAATAATTTAGTGCACCAAAAGATTGGGGCCCTTAAATTGCAAATAGTAAACGCCCTTACTCTTCAGACATTCATAATTCATATGTTCCGTGGCTCTAGGCAGGAAAGAAGGGAAGTTATTTGATGCACAAGTTAACCATATGAGGTATAAAGAGCACCAGGTCAAAAGTAACAGTCACACTTTATTTTTCAGTACAATTGGGGAGTTAGTTGCATGGGCAGGGGTAGCACTAGTCACCACCAGAATCTGATTGTCCATCCCTGCAGAATAAAAATCAGATGCATGTCAGTATTAAGGAATGAAAAATGAAACACAACGACACATTGTTGCCTTAAATACAACTAACATTTACTATTGGTCAAATCAGTTTAACTTCTATCATGCATGCAGCATTATAATTGAATTTCTCCAGTGGTGGTGTTGTGGGGTACTTGGCATGATTCAGCTCACTGGGAGAAGAACCACTGTGTGGCAGCAATGCCCCTGGCTAGAAGTAAATAAGGAGCATAGCCAAAAATAAATAAATTAGATCACTATGTGTGAATTGCTCTTAGATTTGACCGCTGCTTTTGACACAGTGGACCACAATATCCTTATTTCTCGTTTGGAGCACTGGGTGGGTATCCGGGGTATAGCTCTGGAATGGTTTCGATCTTATCTTAAGGATAGATCCTTCTGCGTGAAACTCGGAGATGCTGTATCTTCCTCTGAGTCCCTTGTGTATGGGGTACCACAAGGCTCGGTCCTTGGGCCCCTTCTTTTTTCCCTTTACCTTCTTCCACTTGGTTCTATACTCAGGAATCACAGTGTTTCCTTTCATTTTTATGCGGATGATTGCCAGCTTTATCTACCGGTTAATAAGGTAAGCTCTTCCATTAGCACACTTCTTGAATGTCTGGATGACATTAAATCTTGGCTTGCTTTTAACTTTTTAAAGCTGAATGAGGATAAGACTGAGGTGATAGTATTTGGTGATTCTGTTGGTTCACCATCTGTTGACTTGGGCTCATTGGCTGCTTATAATAAAAAGAATATTTTAAATTTAGGTATTAAGATGGATCTCGATTTAAGATTCAACAGCCAAGTTGCAGCTGTCATTAAATCTAGTTTCTTTCAACTGAGACAGTTGGCTAAAGTAAAAGCATTTGTCTCTAGACAGCATTTTGAGACGCTTATTCATGCTTTTATTACTTCCCGTTTGGACTATTGTAACTCGTTGTATCTTGGGGTCGGTGAGTCTTCTATCACTC